TATAAAATAATAATAATATTCTAATTTCTAAAATATTACATAAAATAATATGTATATGTACTATTTGTTCAATATATTATTTTAATAAAGTAATTATATAAACATAAAATTGACTAATTCATACTATATAATTGATCATATTTATTATAATATTATAATATTTATTAAAAATTATTTTTTAAAACAAAGCTAATACAAACGACTTCACAGCTCTCTATGAAGCTTTTAATCATTATCTGCTTTTGCACAGCCAGCCAAAGTAAAACTGTTCTACCAGTTGGGTGCAACAGCAAAATGCTGTTTATTTAAGCCAGTTCATCATTTTAGTGAAATCTGGAACTTAGCCTTTAATAAACAGCATGATCCAGACATCCAGAGTGTACTGCAAATCCAAATGAAGTCAATGCTGCACGCCAGTTAACCTGCATGTTTGGATTATGCAGTTAGTGTGAATTCCATCCATGTGCAGAGCTGGTTGTCAAGTTGTGTGTTTGTTAACACGTGTGCTCATGTATACACACGCCAACTGTCAGTAAACGAGTGAGTGCAGCGGCATGTGGCAAAGCATGGCTGCTCTGTTGAAAGTCTGTGTGTGCCAGGACCCCCTGCCCCAGACCCCCACTGGGGGTGCGAGAGAGAGGTGGGGCCTGCTGTCCATCGCCTCCGAGCTCGTCCTGCCGCAATGGTATGATCAAGGCCGCGCCACATGAGGCCGCCAATTTAGTCGCAAACAGACTCACTGAATGTCTTCTTCTGTCTTCCTTTAACTTATAGGCTTTTAAATTTCTTTTATCGGAGGTTGTGTGCTTGCGTAGATGTCTGCCCGTGTGCGTGTGTTGGGTTCGTCCAATTATTTTCAAATCCTATCTCGCCTAAGCGTCTGTTCGATGCCTTCTGTGAGAGGGTGGCACTCATAAAGACATAGAGAGAACGAGAGAGTGGAGATCAATCATTTGCTGACAGCCTTCTTCACGGCTACGTCCCACTGGCTGTCAGGGTGAAGTTTAAGCACAGCAGCTCTGCCCAAAAACTGCTGTTGAAAAACTGCATAATTTTGCTGCACACCTCCCACCGGCTGTTAAACACAGTGCTCTAATAAACAAGATATCTGACCTCTGCGGCAGAGGGAGACGAAGAGAGATAAAAAGAGAGACAGAAGCTTCATGAATGATGCATGTGATTGGCTCAGAGCGTTAATTATTCGGCTGCAGCAACAGCGGTGACATCTGCATGGGGAAAGCCAAGCTCTGTCTGCTGGCGACCTTTGACCTCACTGTGTCAGCGCTATGACTTGCCGGCTAAACCTTCAGGACAGGACTTGAGAGGAGGGAGAAAAAAACAGAAAAACGAGTAGGTGTCTTCCGTTAAAGCTATTCCAGAAATTAAAATGTGTCTGTGTGCATCCACACACATTATGCTAATAGATGGAAAGCAGACCTTTACGGTTGGCGATAAAGGTACTTTAAAAAAAAATCCAAAAACGAAGAGATCGCTTGACCCAAGACTTGCTCTTTCTTTGGCACTAAAGGCTATAAATGCTCAAAGCTCCATGTCTGTTTCTGTGATATGAGAGAGCTGAATCTTCTAGGAAGATGGATTTGGAAGAGGAAGAGGGCTGTTTCGACAACAATTTTCAAGAGTTTTGTGTTTTGTCTGTCTAGACCAGGGGTAGGCATGTTCGGTCCTAGAGAGCCGCAGTCCTGCAGAGGTCAGCTCCAACCCTGAAAAAAAAAACTCACCTGACTATAGCCTTAGTAATCCTGAGACATTGATTAGCTTATTCAGGTGTGTTTGAAAAAAAAACCTCACCTGCCTATAGCCTTAGTAATCCTGAAGACATTGATTAGCTTGTTCAGGTGTGTTTGATTAGGGTTGGAGCTGAACTCTGCAGGACTGCGGCTCTCTAGGACCGAACTTGCCTACCCCTGGTCTAGACTATGTGGGTATAAGGTGATAAAAGGTTTTGTTTTAAGGCAGAAGGGCAATGGTCAGAGGACAGCTCTTGAGATAAAACTCCACCTGTGGCTAAAGTACCTTTAAGGAAACTTAAGTTCACTCGGCGGCCATATTTTCTAGTTATGCGAGTATAGCTCCTATTTACATGAAGAAAGAATAGTGAGCAGTGCAGTTTTTCCCATTTAGTTCTCTACAAATAGTCTGTCTCGTTCTCCTTATACCATCCCTGCTGGGTCTTCCTGCTCCTGCTGATACTATTGACAGATAGGATCCACATAATTTTGTGTGCATTTTGGGATGTAAAAAATAAATTTGTATTCAGCAATCAGGGTACATTTATTCAGTATGTATGCTGAATAAATAGATTGAAGTCATGTGAACAAATAATTTGTTCAGAAAAGCAAATAACATCTCATAACTTCTCAAATTAATTCTGAAATGCCGGAGCAAAAGCCTGTTATCAAAATTACCTTCAAGAAAAGTCTGACACGTTGTCGCTCCAGACATAAGGCATCTACCACCAATCGCTAGCAAAAGTGTTTTATCTGCTCGCTCTAAACTGCAAGAAATGCATTCTCTTTAGTAAAAAAGCCATAGTGGCTTTTACTTTTTATTTTGCGCCAATTTATGAGAAATGGAATGGAAATGTTGCATTATCTGTGAACTGTTGCTATATTCAGTTTTTAATTAACAGCATTCACATACACTAACATAGCTTCTCTAATATTTAATCTGAATGTACTGAAGATCTCAAATCCAATCCAAGCACCATCTTTAGCATATAAAAGTCTGAACACTAACTCTAGTGTTAGGAAAAAAAGCTCAGACAGACACACACAAGGGAGAACATAGAGAAACAAAGCTGTCCTGAGAAAACGAGGAAGCAGATAAATTTGAGGAGGATTACGTGTTATGAAAAAATCCCAGATGGGCAATGAGACACAAACCCTCAATGTCTTAATGACCAATCAAAGCCCATCGATTTCTACCCAAACAGCAGGTCCAAGACTGAAAAACGTATCCTAGTGCCAAATCAAATTTAGATTACATTAAGATTCAACACCATGACGCTAAAGAGCAGGATTACCACATGCATCTTATCGCAGAGGTCCGCGTGTTTGTTTTAGCAGAGACTGGAGGGATGGAGATCGAGCAATGCAATGGATTAAACTCACTGAGACAAGGACAAGGTCTCACTGTCTGTCTGACAAACCGCCGGACGTTTTTGTAGAATACTTCTAGTGCACACAAACGCCACATCAGGGTGGTCACAGGTGCATGAAGGATGTCTCTTCCTGACCACAGTGGGCCTGCGTTTTAAAAAGACAAGGGCAAAAGAGCTCTTTCTCTCTCACTGTCTAGGAACTCTCTTCACTCGATCCACTTCAAAGCTCAGTCTCTGGTGGTGAGACGCTGTTTAATCTCCCCCACATTACACTGGCAAACCTGTATTAGTCTGCAAGACAAGACAGGAGAAAATGACTTGTTCATACCTGACTGGCTCCATAATATAAAATCCAATTTAGGGGGGGGTTACAGAGATAAGAGTTTCCGTCGGCGACGGTCCCATCAGTTCAGCAAACACTAAATAATGAACAATGCTGAAGCTGTCCCACCATGATAAAACACTCCATTACGGCTTCTGCACAGAACTAATGGTAATTATAGAACGTCCTCCACCGCTCTTTTATTGAATTTTTATCTGCTCTGGACGCGAGTTGCTCTGAAGCAGTCTTAAACCAAAAAAACAGAAATAACAATAGTTTTAAAATAGCTTATTTACAGATTTTAGCGAAAGAAGTAGAGGAAATTCTGCAGGTATTGTGTGAAGTTTCACCGATGTGGTCTTGGTGAGTGACGTCAGAAATCCAACGCTGAAGTTTCATTGAAGTTTGTTTTAAGGCAGTGTTAAAACAAACTGCCTTAAAACAAGGCAGTTTCTGTTTTTTGTTACAGAAACTGTAAGTCACTGTAACAATTTATGTAAAAACACAGTTATTCTTTTGAACTAATGAACTATATTCTATTACTGATGATGAACCGGCAAAATACAGCTGGGCACACAATGAGGTCCAAAAGTTGGGAGACACTGGGATTATAAAAAAAAAAAAAAAACTGTTGAGGAATATTGTTTCAATTTCATATTCGACTTAAAATTAATATAATTAATTAAAATTCATTTAATCTAATTTAATTAATTAAAATGTAAAGAACAAAAACTATTTAAAAATTCAATTTAATATAATTATTTCAATTCATTAAAATAAAAAAATAAACAACAATTTTAATTTTAAAATATAATTCAATATAACTTTTTAAATAATAAAAAAATAATAAATACAAATTAATAAATTTGTAACTGGAAACACAGTCAGCTCAAGGATTAAAGAAAAACCTTACTACTTAAAATTAATAAAAAAAATATTATTATTATTAAATCGTATTATTACTATTAAAAAGTGCACATACCAAATACCAGATACTCAAAATCAAGTTAATTTTTCAATTCAACTTATCAAAAAGTTTTATGATAATATATTTGTAAAGAAAAAAATAGCAAACTTTTTGACTCAAAATACATCGTGACACGCACTTTTACAGCTGAACAAACCTCCAGCCAAACACATAAACACACACACTCACTCACTGGAGCTAAGGGGTAGGTTGCTGAAGAAGCCCCTGAGGCGGGTGGCGAGCCACTCCATACTCTCCTGCAGGTTAGCGAGAGCCTTCAGATCACTGACGTCCCTCAGAATCTCATTCTGAGGAATCAGCTTATCACCCAGATTCCCCGTTAACACCTCAGACTCCTTGGCAAATGCTGCCCTGTGAGAGACAGGAGGAGAAATAATGAACATTTAAAAAAAAAAAAAAAGCTGGAAATGTTTAATTTAAAACGTTATATGTTTTTTTTGTGATCCTATTACACATTCTTCCTTTAAATGACACTTTAAAGTTGTAAAAAAAAAAAGGAAAAGTAATATTCCTTATTTAAAATAAGGAATATTTTTTGCAATTATTATTTTTATGAATTCTCTTACACACATTCGTCTTTAAGAGAGTTTGTGTGTGTGGGTGTTTGTGTGTTTTGATATTGTTATTTATTATTTACTGATATTATTATTTATTAAATGTTTTTATTATTGCTGTTTTATGATCCTCTAACATATTTCCCCCCTTTTTTCCACTCATCCACTTAAACTGAAAATAAATAGGTTGAAATATATATTCCAATATCCCATAATGTATTCCCAATTATTAGTAATTTATTTTTTGCGCTTCTAAACTTAAGTATGTCCCCTTTAACTGGCACATACACTGCACATTTTGCTTTTTTATTATTAATTATGTGATCCTCATTCACATAATTATTTAGAGATGTGAAAGAGATGTGGAATATCCTAGCTGGAGGGTGTAATGACAATATCTTGGTGTTCTGCTGGCGCAGCCTCAGCACTGGATGTGATACCCACACCGGTGTAAACGTGCATTTTCTTTACTCTCCTTCTCATAATCATAACAGCAGCTGATGCTAAGCTTCACAGGCACATTCAGATGAATGATGCTCAAGCAAATCTATAAAGTCAGTATTTTCTTTGACCTCCTCCTCTACAGGTCTGTGATGAATGTGGGAGAAAAAAATCCACGCGGCTCATTTCTGAGCATTGTGAAATTCCTTAAGATAAAATGCAGTGTCTATTGAACGGAAGACTTTTTAACAAGCTTTTATCACTCTGTATAGGATTGCCATACATGTGACGTAATCCCTCTTTAGCTGATGAAACTGTCAGGGTCATTTATATGATAAAAGCCTCCCGCTCGCCGTCTGCGCTTAGCTTCAACAGGTCGGCTAGATTGGATTTTTCTGTCCCACATAACCAGTTCATTTATTTATTGTACAATTGCAGGCCATGGCACATCCAAACCGACGGGAGAACATTTTGAGGGCAATTTTGATAAAAAGAAAGCCCCCCTCCCTCTCGTCCAATCACAGTTTTCCTCATACTTGTGTCTTCTTTAATTCAAGTGTGCACTTGAGAGGAAAAGGGAGAAAGGGAGGGAGATAGAGCGAGCAAGTGAATTGAAAACAGAATTGCGTGTGTGTTTGGGATGCTGGAATGTTCCGGCAGATAGTGTGGTTGCCTGCAGTTGAATTTGTTCTTGTTCAAAGATGTCTGTTGAGGCTATAAGGGCCAGATTTCATCCTCTGTAACACAGCACACAAGCAGACTACCAAAATGCTTTGTCAGTGTCTAACAGCTAAAAATAACCTTCATTTTCGACGAAGGCAGAAAACCCAAATGCAGTTTCTGGCGTTGAAAACGGATTGAGTACATAAGCGTGTTTATTGATCTCTTTACAGGACGTAGAGGCCTGTGGATCTGTGTTACACAGCACACGTCCCCCAGTGTCTGACTGTGCGTTAACTTGCCTGGAATGGATGTGAGCTGATAAATCTAAATTTTCTTATCTTGCACTCTGAGTTGTTGAACATAGTGTCCAGTTTAAGATCGACCACTTGCTCTCTTGACGTTTTACCAACTACGCTGCTAAAGTAAGTGTTGGACGCAGTTGCACCAAATATTATTTCCGTTATCAACAATTCCTTACAGACAAGTTCAGCTCCATCCTGTTTTAAACATGCAGTGGTTCATCCGCTGCTAAAGAAAGCAAATCTGGATCCTGTTGATTTTAACAACTATAGACCTATTTCGAAATTGCCATTCTTATCAAAAGTATTGGAGAAAGCTGTTTTAAATCAGTTATCACCTTACTTAATTGAAAATGATATATTGGATCCTTTTCGGTCTGGTTTTAGATCTAAGCATAGCACTGAATCGGCCTTGTTAAGAGTGGTAAATGACTTGTTATTATTTCTGTATCTGGAAATTGTGCAGTTTTGGTACTGTTGGATTTAAGTGCGGCGTTGTATTAAATCCTCCTTCTGGGATTGGTGTTGGTCATAGCCCAGAGTTGTGTGAGAAGTTTTGCAGCTTCTTCATAAACAAAATTGCTTGCATTAAATCTCAGATTGGTTAAAAACTGAGGTTGGTATTTGTGATTCGGCCTTAGATTGGTTTGAATCATATTTTACTGCGAGGAGTTTCTCTGTGGAGATAGGTCAGTTTCATTCATCACCTGCCTCTGTTACTGGTGGGCTGCCGCAGGGCTCCATCTTGGGCCTGATTTTGTTTGCTTTATATATGCTCCCTCTTCGTTACATTTTTGAGTTGCCGCAGGGCTCCATCTTGGGCCCGATTTTGTTTGTTTTATATATGGTCCCATATCACATTTATGCGGATGATACCCAGTTGTATATGTCAATTAAACCTGGGTCAAAGTCCTTATCCGACTTGCTTGCTTGTGTAAACGACTTCAAAAATTTTCTTCAGTTAAATGAAAACAAGACTGAAGTCATTCTATTTGGCTTCCCCCATTTGGTTAACGGCATGTCCCTTGCAAGCAAATATCCGTACTCATGTAAATAATCTGAGTGTTGTTTTTGATTCAGAGTTAAAATTCAACAAGCAAATAAAAATGTTGTTAGAGCTATTTTTTTCCATCTTAGGAGTTTACGTAAACTGAAATCTCGTTTATCTTTTAGTGATCTAGAGACAGTTATTCATGCCTTTATTTCAACTAGGTTTGATTATTGTAATGCTTTATATGCTGGTGTCAACCAGTTTTCCCTTTCTCGTTTGCAACTGGTTCAAAATGCTGCAGCCCGCTTCTTAATGGGGAAGAAAAAGAGGGAGCATATCACCCCGATTTTAGCACATTTACATTGGCTACCAGTTAAATTTAGAATTGAGTACAAGATTTTAACTTTTGTGTTTAAAGCCTTGCATGGTCTGGCTCCAGTCTACATCTCAGACCTTATTTGTCCATACTCACCCCGGAGATCTCTTAGATCATCCTCTGATAATCTATTAACCGTTCCATTGTCTCGTTTGAAATCTAAAGGTGATAGAGCCTTTTCTGTATTAGCCCCTAAGCTGTGGAATTCGTTACCTCAATCTGTTAGGTTATCATCTTCTTTATCTGCATTTAAATCATCATTAAAAAGGTTTCTATTTTCGCAGGCCCATTTATAATTGTTGGATATGTTGGTCTTAGTGAGTTAAATTCTTATTCCTGATTTTTATTTGGTTTTATGGGTTAAGCTGTTGATTTAAATTTTAAACTCTGTATTTTTAACATTGTATTGTGTTACTGTGAAGCACCTTGGTCAGCATTAATGTTGTTTAAAGGTGCTATATAAATAAAGATGACCTTGACCTGATATGAGTTGTGCGAGTGTGTTTGTATATATTGTGTGCTCTGTGATGAATCTGTGTGGTGATCTCACATTGGGGACAGTGTGTATTTGTAGAATGTATGTGTATATTAGCGTGTGCTCTCACCGTGTGAAATCCTCTTCTTCTTCCCTCTTCTGTCGAAGCTGTCTGGGTTGGGTCATGCTGGCCCAGTTGGGCAGAGACTGCAGCAGGCGGCTGATGTCTTCATCTTTAGCCCAGGACGCACTGATGGTCAGCTTCTCATCGCACTGTACAATACCCCTACAATACACACACACACCGTACAATAGTCTCAAAACCACTTCAGGATTAAAAGAAACTGATTACATATTGAGAAGATATAAAACCGTGAGCAACATATTTTTATTAAAAAAAAATCGAATAAAATAAAAAAATAAATAAATGCATATCTAACATGAAAATATAATATAATATATTAGCTCAGCTCCACAGATTAATATGGCCCGAAAACATGTCCTAAACACTGCCCTGACATGTTAAATCATCTTTCTCAGATCATAAGTTAAAGGGATAGTTCACCCAAAAATGAAAATTTGATGTTTATTTGCTTACCCCCAGGGCATCCAAGATGTAGGTGACTTTGTTTCTTCAGTAGAACACATCTGATGATGTTTAAGTCCAACCGTTGGAGTCCATCAGTCTTATAATGCATGGCAATGGTAACAAAGTCTATGAGTGTAAAAAAAACATGCACAGACAAATCCAAATTAAACCCTGCGGCTCCTGACGACACACTGATGTCCTAACAAACGAAACGATCGGTTTGTGCAAGAAACTGAACAGTATTTATATAATTTTTTACCTCTAATACACCACTATGTCCAACTGCTTTGAGCACGAGCACGACTTCCGGTGCGTGAGGCGTGTACGCGCTCTGGCGTAGTTTACGCAAGCGCTGGAAGTGATCTCTCGCGCGTATACGTCACGCATTGTTTACACAGTGCACAGTCATTGTAGGTATGACGGCTAATCAAAATGGTACTTACTTGCGCTTATCCGGATTGTTCAAACCGACTTCTGAGCCTGCTCGCCTGAATTTATGGTTGATTGCTCTTCGGCTGGATATTAACACACTGTGATGAGTCGGCTGCCTCCCGCTAATTATCAGCATCACCCCGTCCCTTAATCACTGCCCTTCGCCAGGCTCCCGACATGAATGGGTGCGTGAGAGAGGAGGGGCGCTGAAATAGCCAGGGCTGGCGGCGTGTGATGGGGCACACCTGAACCGAATGGAGCCTCATCACCGCCGCTGTTTAAATGTCGAGCGCGCCTCTCCTCGGGAGACCGGTCTCTTCCCCGTGCATGCACGCTGGTGTCCTCGTGGGTCCAGGAGGGGTGCGTAGAGGAACTCCCG